CTACTACTAGCAAGAAATAACCTAAGAGATCTTCTATTAAAAAACTACACTAGTACTACTTTTAGTCCTCCACAAGATATCAAGAATATATACTGTGAAAAAAAAAAAATCAATGCCGATTATCGTACACAAACAAATCGGTACAAACTTCATGAAATACCTCGAGTATGATCCCGCGCGACTCCTCCGAATTCATCTCGAGATAGTAATTCAAGAGCCGCCTCAAATCCTTGGCCTCGTGAATCTTGCTCGAGACTATCATCTCCACCATCGATTCCCTAAAATCCTCCCTTGGATCGAACGATGTTCTCTCCATGGCCACCATCACCACAAATTTAGTAGCAATATTCTCACGTCTTGATCGCCCGACAGTCCTCTCTCGTTTTCTTTCTTCTTCTCTTTCTCTGATCATCTGGTCGAGCCTCTCTTGTACCATAGCGTGTGCAATTCTCGAAATACCGTGAAACTTCTCCGAGTTTTTTTCCGAGATTTCGGATTCTTGTGAAGAAACACTGAGCCTACAAACTCCACAGCAAAATGCTTTGCATGATGATGATGATACCTTTTGGAGCTTCTTGGTCATTTTTTTTTTCTTGGTGTGTGTGTGTTTTTCTACACATTTGAAGTAGAATGTGAGGGTGAAAAAATAATTTATTTATGTTTAGAGGGGTAATCATGATTATGTCCCGAGATTAACAGGAATTTTATTCAAAACTGATATTGGAGGGAACATTTGATATGTTTTTTTAAGGTGGTAATGATTATTCAGAATGTTACTTGGATGATGTGACCAACTTTTTTGAAGGATTACTTGTGAGAATGTATTAGTTGGCTTTTGCTTTTCTAGTTGTGGTTTTGAGTTTAAAGATGATGTCCAATTATGTTGGAAGTACATGATTTAAGTACTTTGTTGATGCCAAAGTGAATCTTGAATGTTGTGTGTTATCTTTTTCATTATTATTATTATTATTATTATTATTATTATTATTATTATTATTGTTGTTGTTGTTCAACATTACGCTGCCCACGGTGGGTTTACGTTGAAATCACGAGATCTTGACACGTGACTGGTAGACATATTTCAGCCTTTTGTAATGCTAGACATATTTCAGCCTTTTGTAATGCATGAGAATTCAGCATTTGTGTGATTAAGTGATGTAATTGTAAATTGAACAATTAATTTAATGCACAAAACATAATTTATGGAAGTTGTGCTAATTATTATTGGATTCAAGTCTTAAGATTTGTCAATGAAATTAATGTACAATGATGAAGACAAGGGCCAAACTATATATATATGGTAATGAAACAAATAAGTGAACACTTATGGATCAAAGGAAGGGACTCCATGACATAAAATTAGTCCAATTTTTGGGGACAAATGCATGTTATCTTGCACTTGTTCTATTCCTTTTTATAATTTCTTAGCTTAAGAAAATATTAATCCTACAGTTGGAGAATCTAGGGTTCTAGATTTTGTGTTCACTTTACAGGATAAAGAGTGAAGAAGACTATAGAATTTATTGAGGCAATGCCTAATACCTCAATTTTTATAGGGACATGTTGTAAAGACAATTCACTCACTCTTTTAAGCATCTATTGTAATCATCTCTTGGTTCCAAGTTGTCAAGCTAATATGGTGGTTGAAATCATGAGGCAGTGTAAAGCTTTAGTGAAAATTATATTATTATTATTATTATTATTATTATTATTATTATTATCTTTGTAAATTTATCATTATTTTTTAAAGATATGTATCATATATTTATCTTTCTTCTTCTTGAAAATAGATTAGCTTTTGTCTTCTTTTTTTTCATGTGAACAATGACTCTACAGTTGGTCAGGTTGATATGAATAGAAATTTACAATAGTTTAATGGTTAACTATATATTTGGCGTTGTATAAGTCGGTTGGAGATGGCCTAATAGTTGAAAATGATATAAAATATTATTTAACCAATTTCTAATAATACGTCACTCAATTTATTAGCATAAATATACGACACCTAATTATTTATGTTAGTACAGCAGTTGTATTTAATGAAAAATAGAAAAGGACTATCAACAATCATATTAAAAATTCAGGATATGACTAGGACTTAATTTTTTAGCCAAGGGCCCATTTTGTAGCTACACACTCTATAGACATCAAATTTTTAATAAAGTAAATATTTCTTGCTTACTAAGTCAAATCTTACGATGAAGATAAATCTTAGGATAAAAAAATAAATTATATCAAATCATGAATGACCAATCAAATTGATGTCTAGATATTTGTACCCAAAAAAAAATTGATGTCTAGATATAAAATAATTATATATACGATAGCTTTGGACCCCACTTTGGCCACTTATGTTGATTGAAGAGGTATTTGTGGCTATTAGGAGAAAAAGACATCAATTTGATACTTGTGTTGAAGAGGTGTTTGTGCCTTTGAGGAAGAAGATATTAATTTAATTGGTGCTTCATTATTTGATATAATTTCTTTTTTTATCCTAAGATTTGTCGTCATCATGAGATTTGAATTACTTTATTAAAATATCTTATTTAAATTAGAATTATGTCTTAAAATAAATAGAAGTCTTAATTAATAAAATATTATAATTTTGATGTGTACACACTCAAAATCCAATGTCCTAACTTAAGCCCATTTGTAAGATTGGTGCAGGTCTATGTCAAGTATTTCAATTCTTTATTTTTATCCATCTAAGTATTTTGGCTTACTTATTCCTACTAACCTATTCAATCATTATAATGCATTTTTATGAATAAAATATCTATTGATACAGTGAAATATGAAATGTCATATTCTCATTGAAATTCAAAGATGTAGTTTTATTAATGCACATGCCATTTTATTATCAAATTATGTAAATTTATTGAAAAGTATGTCATTTAATTTAACAGTAGGCTCTATCGAACAACGGTCATATCGTTTTTAGTTTTATCGAAATTTTATTAGCTTTTCCATTTAAATCCAAACACTCTATTGTTAACGTTTACATAGTCGTGTTGGCCAATGAAAAAACGTCCGAATATCGACTATTTCATGAATCAAATTGCTCACAATTCTTGTTTTGGTAGATATATAAGTACATATCATAAAGAAACTTTGAATAGATTTTATCAAACTCCATTTTTCTTCGGATGCCCGATGTCTCAAAGTGGAAATGTGTTAAACTGTTAAAGTATCTACCAAATTGCTTAATTGGTCCCCAAAAAATTACATACCCTACAAGTTCAGAGCAAAAAATGTCTCATTCTCTCAATTATCTCTTTGGGAGAAACAAAAATTGTGATTGTTTTAATAATTTGTTGTTTGTACCATGGCCATACACTTCTATATGGTGGACTTCATTCCCAATAGAACTCCTTTCTCAGTGAATTATTATAAGATCACGAATTATTTCGTGACAGATCCTAATCGTTAGGCGGGTCGACTCGTCATACTATATAGGTGAATAAAATAGATACGTATACAAAAATTATATTTTTGTTTTTGTTGTTTTTAGGAAAAATAAAAAATATAGGAAGGCAACTTAATTGATTTAACCTAGACGTGGCCAATTGTCGGGCCGCGACCCGACCCGGCCCGGCCCGCCGGGTCGGTAGGCCTCAATCTCATGGCTCGTGACCGGCCCGCACATTTATATAGGCCCGTTCCCCGCCCTTAAAAATAATTATGAACCGGCCCTTAAAGAAAAAAATAACGATGTGGTTCGACCGGAGGCCCGACTCGGCTCGGCCCAGACCAGCGGGACAAAAAAAAACATTATTAACTGGGATCGAACCGCGATCCTAGGGGCAGGTTCAACGAACCGATCCTTAGGAGGCCGGTTCGGGTCAGGACGAGACACGAGACCGATTCACGGACCGCCTCGTGAACATGTCTAATTTAACCACTACAAAAAAAAAAACTCTTACTCCCTCATTTTTTAAATAAATGTCGTTTTGACTTTTTTGATTTATTCATTTTGCTATGTATCTAGACATTAATATGTCTAGATACATAGCAAAATGAATGAATAAAAAAAGTCAAAACGACATTTATTTAAAAAAGGAGGTAGTACATTCCAACGGAAATTTTCCGTTGGATTTGTTTATATTTTCATTGGAATAGATATTCTAACAGATATTCCTACGTATAAAAATCCGTTGAAAAAATGGTCGTTTGAATAGCAAATATCCAACGAAAAATCATATGGAAATAAATTCCTACAACTATTTCAACGGAAAAAAAAAAACCGTTTGAATTTCTCAACTATCCAACACTTATTCCAACATAAAATTAAGTTTGTTTGAATATTCATTGGAATTTCTAACGGAAATTTTTGCGGTTGGAATTATACGTAGTAGTATTTTTTTGTAGTGCACCTAATTTTTGTGAAATAAAAAATCGATCCCAACAATCACTATCGCCATCTCGATCCTATGTGTGAGTTCCAAAGAGAGTTTAGTGAAATTATTAACTCCCCCAATAAATAAAGAGCCGTTAAATTTATTTAGGAATAAATGGTGATTGGTCCGCCATTTATGTTACAAAATTTAATGTTCTTAAAGCAGATTATAACTACCATCAATAAATGTCTGCATTCTTATTAGTTTCATTGATCACCTTATAAGAATAATAATAGTCGCTTTCTTATTTATCCATCTTTTATATAAAAACTAGTACAACGCCCGTGTATTACACGGGTGTTTGTTAATTTTTTCCTTAAAATCTAAAATTAATGAGAAAAAGTAGTTGAAAAATTAAATACATTTTATAAAATATATATTATTATATATTTAGTATGACACTTTTTATTTGTGCGACTTACTTGTGTTATATTATAATTTATAATAATTTTTTAACTTACAACATATAACTACATTAAGCATAAATATATGAATTGAGAAATAATTTTATTTTTCTAATGAATTTTAATAAATATTATTATTTTTTATTATTATAAAAAATAAATATAATTTATTTATTTCATATATACATTTTTTATGGAATGTCCGAACCTAGATTATTAATTATTAATATCAATATTATTTGTCCAAACCTAATTACGAAGCATGATTCTTTGCCAAGTAGGATTCCGAAGCACCAGAAGCAGCCACGTAAGTTCAGCGCATTCGGGAATTATATATAGAGGCGATATACACATATATATAAATTAAGTAATATATATATTAAAAAAATTCAATAAATACTACTAAGTAATGTATATATAAAAAAAAATTGCCTCAAATATATTTATTTATAGCGTTAATTCACTGAATAATATTCTACAAATTACAATATTTTACAATTTATGCAAATTTGCAATCAATTTGGTAACTTTTTTGTTGGTCAGGCCTACTAAATAAATAGTAATAACACTTATTTTAACATACATACACTTTAAAAAAATTATAAATAAAAAATATGATATTTCATATTATAAGTTATACATTTTTATTAAATAGATATATAAGTGTTCATTTCGAAATTAATCGAATAAGCAAAATAAGCTTGCAGTTATGTGTCACACCATAAAAGCCCCAATAAGGACTATTATTTTTTTTTTTGGTACAGGGACCTTCCGGTTTTCGCATCCACAGGGGAACCGATTAATCCGAAATCAAGTCGGGTAGGACCACAAGGGCGGCAAAGCTCTCCCTCAAGAGTTTTTAACACTACTGCATTCTCATGGCTCGAACACGAGACCACTGGTTAAACTGGAAGAGAGCAAAGTCATCTCATCCAAACGCTCTTGGGTCAATAAGGACTATTATTAGCAAAGTGATATGAAGCCACTTTCTTGTGATAAATATTTATATCCGTTGTCACTTGTTAGGCTGCCTAATAGTTTAGATAGTCATACTCTTTACACAAATATAAATGTTTTCTATTTAAATAGCACATTTTATAAACAAAAAATGTGTATATTCCACAATATAAGTATCCTTTTTTTTTTTTTTGGATAAAAAGCATGATTCATTAGACATCCTAACAACATACAGGGAAATGCTACAGTTTTATAATGGAACCATTTTGTCAGGATTTGTAACCATCATGAATAGTTAATCTAACTGTTACAAAACCCGACAGAATGATTCCGCAACGGACTATAGAATCTCCCAACATTTATGTTATATAAATAGTTAGTTTATCTTGATTTGCTATGGACTCTTGAGCAAATATGATAATAACCAACTACTACTACTACTACTAATAATAATAATAATTAATTATTGCAATAATTGTTAATTATAGTTTAAAAACTGTCATAATAATACAGATAAGTGTACGGATTGCCCGGCCCACTCTTCAATTAGCAAAA